TCATAATGTAGAAATACTTCTTAATGTCAACCTATAAAAAGTCACTTATGACTAATATTCTTGCCAAAATGTATGAATGCTAACCTTCAAATAAAGTCCATAACATGTAGGTCTTGCTGTTCAGATGGCAGGCATTGTTTTCCTCATCCTTCTCCACTTCAAACCATGGTTCTCTAGAGTCGAGACCCACCATCTTATAAGAAGACTGCCAACATTTGCATCCAGCAGAGTTAAAAAAAAATGGTTGCTAGGGGACTGTAAAACAGGAAAAAGAAAATGTAGGGCCAAAAAGCCAGAGATGGGAGTAGAGGTGGGTCCAGCAGAGATCAACAATAAAAGACAAAAATCTGAGGCTTCCCTGGTGGTCCAGTGGTTACAACTTCCTATACAGGGGTTGTCGGTTAAATCCCAGGTCGGGGAGCTAAGATTGCACATGACTTGTGGGCAAAAATAAAAAAACATAAAAATAATACTATAACAAATTCAATAAAGTCTTTTAAAAAATAAACAATATATTTTTTAAAAAAGACAAAAGTCTGAGCCAATGCAACAGACTCAGCCCACTTACCGGCCAGGAGTTGAGGGGTCACAGGAAGAACTCATTCAAAGAACTGGGGTCCAAAGAGTGAGGGGCACCAGGTAGATGAGGTTTGTTGAAGCATTCTGCTCACTGAGGCACAGGGGATCTGGGAGCATGGGCCTGGTCCCAGGAAACAGGGCTGGCAGGATCAAGGCCCTGTACACCCATATATCAGGACAAAGGCTTCCTAGCCCCACACACCACCTGGGAAGCCAGTGACCTGGGCATCTAGGCATGAGAAGGCTTAGGAGGAATTAGTCCCCTCCTGATGAGGGATGGCTCCAGGGAGTCTGGCACTTTTGCCTACAAGATCATGTGCTTAGTCACTCCATCATATCCGACTCTTTGTGACCCCATGGACTGTAGCCCACCAGACTCCTCTGTGTATGGGGACTCTCCAGGCAAGAATACTGGAGTGGGTTGCCATGCCCTCCTCCAAGGAATCTTCCCAACCCAGGGATCAAACCCAGACAGATTATTTACCATCTGAGCTACCAGCGAAGCCTGCAAGATTAAAAGCAGCCAAAAAGTTATGGCCAAACCCTACTGATTTATGAGACAAAAACTACTGATCTGCCAGTCTCTCCTTAAAAGGGGTGGAACTCATAAGCAGCTTTGATGATACATTGGGGTAAAGGCTAACAATCCTTCATTCATTCATGGATCATTTACTGAAAGCCTAATATGTGCTAAATGCAAAGCTAAGTGCTGAGGAAACAAAAGTAAATATGACAGGGACAAAAATACTAACAAACATGTTTTCACAGCCTCCTCCTCCCCCTCTATCAACACTTCCAGCCCTTTTATGGAGATTTCTGTTCACATACTTCTGGAGCTGTGCTGTGCTGATCAGGAAAATGGGTGACAAAGAAGATGGAAAGAATTCAGGGGAAACAATAAAGAACTGAGCCAAAAAGAACTGGGGCAGAGGAGATCAGAGATCTGCAGGAGCAAGGAAGGGGACTGGGGGGAAGGAGAGAAAGAGGAGGGAGAAACTGAATGAGTCTGGAGTTGAGGTGGTGAGAAAAATGGTAGCACGTGGGTCAATGAACAGACCTGCGAAGGACAGAGAAGCACAGGGTATGTGTGTGTATGTGACAGCAATTTCTGCCCATGGTCTCTTGGAGACTTTATGAACTTCTTTGCAATTGGGATCATGTTTTACCCTTGGATGCCACACTATGATAAAACTGGCTGCTACAAAGTAGCCCTGCTCTAAGGGGATTATAGTATAAGACATGGTCCCTGCCCTCTAGATGCTCAGAGTCCAATAGAGAAAACAGTCATTTAATGTAAAATAGCACAATAAAACCAAGTGCTGTGTCACACCTCTCTGTAAGGCATGGGGTGGCAATTGAGGGAGAGGTCACTAGTTTACCTCTTGCTCAAGGACAGATAAGTGCTCTTTCAGCAGTAAGGTCAGTGGGGCTTAGGAGGGGACATTTTCTAGCTCCCAAATTGATGACCAAGGGCAACCTAAACCTCAGTCCCAGACAAGAAGAAGCAGAAGATCCAAATTCCCTCCTCAAACTCCTCAAAATCCCACCACCTCCAGGACCCACCCAGGGGGCAGGTAGCAAGCATCCCACTTGAGTGCCTTTTTTGAGAGCTCTGTGGGGAGGGTGTGTCTTCCTTTCTACTCCAGTATCACCTATGCAAAGGAAAATGTGTGTAGACTGGGGTGTGAGCAAAAGAGAACACTGTACCAAACCACATACGCATGGAAGGGGAAAATGAGTGAATGTTCAACGAAGCTTGAAATTACAAAAGTGAAGCACAAAGTTGGCCCCAGAGCAGCTGCAGTTTTACAGCTGTGGCTTGCACAGAGTTTGCTTCCCCCAGGCAAGGGAGGACGTGGAGTTTCCAAGCGGGCTGAAGCAATCGCTCGGCTGGTTTGTGCCAGCCAGATGACTCACTCTCAAACCTGTTTAATATGAAACAGCATTAGGAGACTGGATATAGCCTCAAGGAGATCAGCTGCTAACCAGCTCAGATTATAGCTGCAATTCCTCAAACACAGCCACTTAAGAATACCTATCTGCCTGTCTTCAGTGGCATACAACACTGTAAAGGAAAGGGACCCATCTGGAAGCAGAACGATCAGGGTTCTGCTTCCTATTCAGTAGCAGTTCATCAGGTGACTTGGGTCAGCCTCACCTGAAAAATGAGACTGATACCTTGTCCATAAAATAGGGCAATACCCTCCCTGCCTACACCCTGCAGTCGTTTTGAGAATTGAATGAGAAATATGACGAGAATGAAGTGAGGTGATGGAAATGGTAGAGGGCTGTAAACCAGGTATTATCATTACACACAAGTGTCATAAATCTCCTTCTACACTTTCATTGGAACTAGAGGGAATTTCCTTAAGTGGCAGGAATGAGGAAATAAACAACAAAAATTCTGCTTCCTACTTTAACATCAGCAGCCGTGAGAGCCCCATTTTAGTGGGTTATTGTGGACTTTTGTCATCCAGGCAGTAAATGGGAGTCTTCTCAAATTTATTAGAGCTCCTCTACTCACTGTTATCTGGGGTTATCAGTTAGACCATTTCTAATAATTCCCAGCAAGAATTTTAATGAGATCTCTGAGAAATTAATGAAACTATTCCTCCCATTTGTAATTACATGGGCAAGAAAATAAGCAAAAGAATCTTTCATTCTTTTTCCTTTCTTTCTTCCCTTTTTAGTTTTTTTTCCTCCCCCATCTCTGTCTCTCAGAGACAGAGAAGTAGATGAGTGAGGCACTTGTCGATGATGAAAATTTTAATTGAGTGACAAGAAACCACAAATGTCAAGATAAATATATTTTAATGAATATTTTTCAAAAATTAAGTAATGCCAAAAAATGAAAAAAGTCACATTTTTACATAAAGATGAGTAACAGTGCCATCCAAGATATACTGAAGCCTAAAGCAAAAGGAAAAGTCAATATTTCTGATCCTGCCTATTTAAAACTTGGCATATTGTTCATTATTGATTTTTGCCTTAATATTGGGGGGTGTTTGTTGTTGTTGTTAATTTTTTCAATGTATATTTGGTTGCAATGGGGCTCCATTGAGGCAAGTAGTTCCCTGACCAGGTATTAAACCAGCACCCCCTACAATGGGAGCACAGAGTCTTAACCACTGGACCACCAGGGAAATCCCCTTGCCTTAATTTTGATGTATCATGGATAGAAATTTTTTTTGTTCTAAGTGGCATCTAAAATTATAGCTTTCCTTAAATACAACTGCCATATTACCCAGCAATCCCACTCCTGGGCATACACACCGAGGAAACCAGATCTGAAAGAGACACGTGCACCCCAATGTTCATCACAGCACTGTTTATAATAGCCAGGACATGGAAGCAACTTAGATGCCCATCAGCAGCCAAATGGATAAGAAAGCTATGGTACATATACACAATGGAATACTACTCAGCCATTAAAAAGAATTCATTTGAATGAGTTCTAATGAGATGGATGAAACTGGAGCCCATTATACAGAGTGAAGTAAGCCAGAAAGATAAACACCAACACAGTATTCTAATGCATATATATGGAATTTTAAAAGATGGTAACGATAACCCTATATGCAAAACAGAAAAAGAGACACAGATGTATAGAACAGACTTTTAGACTCTGTGGGAGAAGGCGAGGGTGGGATGATCTGAGAGAATAGCATTGAAACATGTATATTATCAAGTGTGAAACAGATAGCCAGCCCAGGTTGGATGCATGAGACAAGTGCTCAGGTCTGGTGCACTGGGAAGACCCAGAGGGATGGGATGGGGAGGGAGGTGGGAGGGGGCATCAGGATCGGGAACACATGTAAATTCACGGCTGATTCATGTCAATGTATGGCAAAAACCACTACAATATTGTAAAGTAATTAGCCTCCAACTAATAAAAAATAAATGAAAAATAAATAAATAAATAAAATTATAGCTTTCCTTAGTATCAGAGGCATCTTAGATTTAGTGAAATGCTTTCCATATGGTATGTGGAACAAGTACGACACCTGGCAATGAAATTCAACTTGGCTTTGTCTCTCTCTGTTTCCTTTACACATTTATTCAGTGGAAGTCACCTTCCCCATTCCTGAACAAAAACTCAATGAGCCCCATGGCTTTTCTGTTCCCTCTTAAATAAGGAACAATCCCACAGTTATTTTAAGTCACAAACACAGTCAATTTAGCGTCAGAATGTAAAATCCCCTGAAATAATCAAAACTCACAACTTCACTTAGTGGTAAACCTTCTCCCCTCCACCAGCTGTGGGGGTGGCAGCCTGCCGTAGGAAAGGGGAATGGGTCCTCCTGCTCTCCGCTCTTCCTACCTGTCTTCCTCATTCATCACTTAACACCTGCTGTCTTACTCTCCTTCCTACTGGTAGGGGCTTGACAGCGAGAGGAGGAAGGGCATAGAGCAGTTCCTACCTGACTGGGTGGCTTCACATTCTCTGAGCCAGGGAGATGGTTAGCAGGCATCTTCTCTTGGGTCATCTTCATAGACTCATCAGGGCTTCTCTCTCCTTTCAGGTATCTATCACACTTGTCCCATCTGGGTGGTGACAACATGGATGTTATATAATATGTATATTATAACTTTACTTTTCTTCATTTAAAAAGAAAAAGAACTATAAGAGAGAATAAGGGGGAAGAATCCTAACTCTACGTGAAAACAACCTTTATTGGATAGAAACTTGCCTTATCAGTCTGTCTCTCTCTCTTTCTTCCTCCTTCCCTCCCCCCATCCCCACCTCTCGGTTTACTACCAGCCGTATCTTCTCTCCTGGTCTTCATTTGATCACCTTTATACCTCTATAGACCTATAAAAATGAAAGTTTGTCTAGATGGAGATAAACTTCCTTGCCCTGTCACATACTAGTTTATTTCTTACTCCTTCTGAATAGGCAGAGCCATATCCCGCTGGTTTCTAATTTCTTCAAGAATAAATGGCTCTGGCCAGAATCCAGGCCACTCCCAGTCCTCTGGGAGCTCGTCAAGAGAGCTGGAACATGTCTGCCCTTGACCTCTACAAAAGAAATCAACAGGAGTCCCACAGCACAGAAAACACGGTGAAAACAGCAGCGTCACCAAAGGCAGAAAACACATTTCGTTCTCACCACTAAGAGTCTGACTGTACTGCCGGTCTCCAGGCACTGGAATCAAAGACAGAAGAATGTTGCAGAGGCTAAACAGTTGTCCCCGCTTTAATAAAATAATTGCCTTCATTGTTTAGCTTCACAGTACTGGCAATGTGTTGCTTATATACTTGAGTGCTCATTTTTCTTAGTCTTCATAGTCTTCAATATTGTGCTTTATTAAGGTGGTATTTAAATATGTGGTTCTAGTTTGCCTTCTAGGATCTATAGAGGTTGAAACCGAAAAGCAATTTGAATTCTTACACATTTCAAAGGGCCTGTCCAGATTCAGAATGTCTGAAGCAAAACATTTTCCCAGCACAAGTTTTGGGAGGATAGAGAGAGAACAACTTGCTGCTGTGGGTAGCTCTTGTGGATAAGTCAACAAAGCACAGAAGGAAACCAACGCAGAGTCCAAGCCTCTGTGACTAGGGCTGGTCCTTAAGGCTGAAGAGTTGCTTGCAACAGCCAGCTAGGTTGGGGGAAGGAAGGGGAGATGGCAAGCATCCATTCCAGGAATCAAGTCTGTACTCACTAATATCCCTCTCTCCCTTCAATATCCTTCTAAAGCTCATCCCAGAGGGGTTAATACAAATGAGCAGAAAATGGTGGCAGATGAGTCACGTAACGTAAAATATGAAAAGGCTGAAGAATCTCACAGAACAGAAATGGGATTCCATTAAGCCATGAACTCAGAGGAAGAAAAAAAATTGCACCTTTATTTTCACTAACCTGTAACTAAAAATCTAGCATTTCCTTCAATTATGAATGGAAGCAATATACCAGAGGAGTTTCATAGCATCAATGACTTTGTCACCAATTCAATTCACAGATATCTTCAATTAACTTTATGGTTGTTAAAAATATCTTGAAATATCATTTCTGGTCATTGTTACTCTGAAAATATGATGGCAATAAAATTTGTCATTGGATTTTAACATTTCACCTATTAATAAAGAGGCATATGTAAATATACTGCACATTTACTTTAATATTTTGAAAACTGTATTTTAATACTTGGTTTCCTTTGTGATCCTATGTATCAACGTCACACGGAGCTCTTGCAGCTAGCACTAGTACTAGAGGGCTTCTCTCTAGTCCACTGGCACTTCCTCAAAACTCAAAAATAAGAAAACAAACAACTCTTTACAGTGGGTAAAAACCACACAGTTTTTAAGTCCTGCTAGAAAGCTTTTCCTCTGGAACACCACAGAGTAATCAAGACAGTGTGTTACTGGCAGAGGGATAGCCAAATAGACCGATGGAACAGAATAGAGAACCCAGAAATAGAACCATACGAATATGCCCAACTGATTTTTTAAATAGACTTTATTTTTTAGAACAGTTTTGATTTAGAGAAAAATTAGCAGATAGTCCAAAGAGTTCCTGTATACTTTATACTCAGTTCCCCTTATAACTAATATCGTATGTTAGGATGGTACATTCGTTACAGAGAGGAAACCAATACTGATAACTTTCTCATTAACTAATAGTAACAGTGTACTCAGATTTCCTTAGTTTCTGATTGTCACATTTCCTTGGCTGTTCTTAGCCGTGGCAGTTTCTTAGATTTTCCTTGTTTTTCACAACCTTTGCAGGTTTGAAGAGTATGGGTCATATATTTTGTAGGATGCCACAGTATTACAATTTGTCTAATGATTTTCTTCTAATGAGACTGTGGTAATGTTTATTAGGATGAAGGTAACAGAAGTGAAGTATCATTTTTATCAGCTCATATCAAAAGTACATATTCTCAACGTGATTTATGACTGCTGATGTTGATCACCTGACTAAGCTAGTGCTTGTCAGGTTTTTCCACTGTATAGTTACTTTACTCCTATTTCCAGACTATACTCTTTGAAAGGATCTATGCATAGATCACATCGAAATAATGAGTTATATTCCCCTCCTTGAAGTCAGAATATCTGCATCAATTATTTGGAATCCTTCTGTATAGGGGATTTGTCTATTCTCTCCCATTTATTTATTATTCAATCATTTACCTCAGTAGGGAATCATGAATATTTATTTTGCACTGTGAGCTTTAATCCAATACTACTTTATTTTCTTGCTCAAATTGTTTCAACTTTGGCCACTGGGAACTCTTCCAGTTGCACCTTTGGCATACCTCCATCAACGTATTTTGTTTTTTAATCACTTCCTTACTTTCTGATACTATAAGATGCTCTAGTATCATCTTACTTATTTCCCGCCACAGCCCTAAAATCAAAATTTTCTCTAAGGAACCCTATTCCTTTTATTGGAGAGTGATATTAGAAACCACAATCTGGACACTTAGTGTATCCTTGTTACTAGAATGTCCAACTGATTTTTGACAAACATGCAAATCTAGTCAGTGGAGGGAGGATAACCATTTCAACAAATGGTGCTGTAGCAATTGGACACCATGGGGGGTGGGAGGGTCAGGATAGAAGTCACATTGTGTGTAAAAATTAATTAAAAATGAATCATGGATGTAACACAAAATGCAAAACCATAAAACTTTTGAAAAACAATACCAAATTTTCAGAATCTAGGACTAGGCAAATAGTTCTTAGACTTAAAACAAAAAGTATGATCCAAAAGAGAAAAATTGATAAATGAGATCTCATCAAAATTAGAAAATTTTCCTCCGAAGAAAAACTCTATTAAAAGAAAGAAAAAAACAAGTTACTACAGACTGAGAGAAAATATTTGCAAACCACATATCTAAAACCAGACTAGTATCTACAATATACAAAGGAATCCCAAACTCAACAGTGACAGAATAAATGATCTAATTAGAAAATGGGCAAAAGACATGAACAGACATTTCGCCAAAAAGGATATATAGATAAGCATTTGAAGCGATATTCAACATCATCAGCCATTGCTGGTGCTGCTGTTTAGTCATCTGATTCTTTGCAACTCCAGGGACTGTAGCCCACCAGTCTCCTCTGTCCATGGGATTTCCCAGGCAAGAATACTGTTGTGGGATGCCATTTCCTTCTCTAGCGGACCTTCCCCACCCAGGGACTGAACCCATGTCTCCTGCTTGGCAGGCAGATTCTTTACCACTGAGCCACCTGGGAAACCCCATTAGCCATTAGGGGTTAATTTAAATCACAAAGAGATATCACTTTACAGAGAAATGAAAATGTATGTTCATACAAAAACCTATACGTGAATGTTCCTAGTAGCTCTCTACGTAATAGCCCCAAACTGGAAACAATTTAGATGTGCTTCAATAGGTAAATAGTCAAATCAGTTTTAGTATATCCATACCATGGGATACTACTCAGCAAGAAAATAGAAAAAACTAATGATATACCTAGCAATTTGGTTGACTCTTCAGAGAATTACACAGACATCATTGTTATCTGGAGCTGGGGCTGGGGAACAGTGGGGGAGTGACTGACTACAAAGGAGAAGCAAAAGGGCATTTCGAGGGTTGGTAGCAATATCCTGTACCTTGATCATGATAATGGTGGTTACACAACTGCAAGCATTTGTCAAAACTCATAGGGCTATACATTCAAAAGGGTAGATTTTATTGCATGTAACAATTGTAACTCAATTTTTAAAACTGTGAAAAATGATAGAAACTTTTTAAACCAGCCTCCACTTAGCTCTATTACTGAATTAACAAACATTCTCCATTCTTTTCCATAATATATACCTATTGGTACCCAGGAAATTTACAGTTGAGTATTTATAGCTAGTCCTTCTCTAGTATACAGTCATTGTCTGCTCCTGCCAGTTAAGCACAACACAAACCAAGAATCAGTTGCATATTTTTCCAAACTTACTGATGTTATTTGTGCTTGTAATTCTAATTAACTGATTTAGTTAAATATGACATAAACCCATGAAACGTAAGTGTGGAAAGGAAGTTTTTGTTTCTATGAAAATTAAGATGAATGCTTTGGAAAAACTAGCTAATGACAACTTGCTAAAAAAAATTCTTAAACTAAAAAATGGACAAGACAGGGCCTTCCCTGGTAGTCCAGTGATTAAGAATCCGTGCTTCCACTTCAAGGGGCACAGGTTTGATCCCTGGTCAGGGAAGCAGGATCCCTCATTACACAGAGTGCAGCCAAAATAAATGGACAAGACAGTTAATGAAAGATTGAAAGGAAATGTAAAAATCTAAACTCAACCCACAGTTACATTGTTTTTGCAAGTGGCTTAAAGGTTTTGCTCCATTTTAACGCAATCCAAACTAGAAATCATACAGGATACAACTTGAGAGTGGATTATGCAATGAAAATGTCTTGGCTCTTCAGTTCAGATTCACTCAAAGAAAAGGTATGGTGGATGAATGTATATTTATAATGTTCTAACCTAAACATTTACCTAAAAATGTTAAACTATGTATAAACTATTGTTTATGATTTGTCACTTTAGCTGAATTTTTCTACTAGCCAAATTTCCACAG